GACAACAATGCACACAAGTTAACCACCAACAGAGCAGGCGGAGGTTGGGGCTATGTTAAGGAAGTCGTCATCGATGCCGCGACGCCTCCCCCACCCTGCAGCCGACCTCTGAGATTCCACCCCGGCCTGTACAATGAGAACGACCTTCCTATCGAGGCCAAGTCTCAGCTCCCCGCTAGGCAGAAGCAGAAGCGGAAAACCGATCTACGAGAACCTTCAGGGGGTCTAAGTCGACTCCAGCCCAGATTTGGGGGGGGGCGAGGAGTTTGCAGAACGCGGGGTATTGTCTATACATTTGGGGGCTGCCGCGTCGACCTTCCCCGATCCATAAACCCCAAGCTCGCCTCCTCCACTCTCCTACAACCTGGTTACCTCTTTGCTTCCTCGTCCTCCAGCAGTTCAGGCTCGGTCCCCGCCATTACCACATCGCACTCCGCGGTAGCCGCCATCTTACCGCCGGGACCAGAGAGCCGAGTGGGAGGCAGGCGGTGAAGAGCACTTCCGGTCGGAGCATCGAGCCGCTCAGCTGCGCCGCGCCCAGAGGGACTACCTCGAGCCCGTCTACCAACGAGAGGCTCCGCTTGGGGCCAGAGCGGCCTCCCATCCCTGGAGGTCCACGGTGGTCTCCGCCCTGGAGCGGGGGCCCAGGGACGGCTCCTGTGCGTAGGGGGCGCCACTTTACTCGCGGATAGGGGGAAGGTGCAGAAGGATGTTGCCTCTCTAGGCCTCGGCTTGCCTCAGTATCCCGACAGCCTGGTTGCCATAACAACTTGCAATCCTAGAGCGTCTCCTGTGAAGCTGTGGAGTCCCGGGTGAGTGGAGGTGGCTCACCCAAGACTCTTGAGGCGAACAAGCCCGGTATGACTACCTTCCCGACCTTGGAGTGTGTCCACAGCGTCCTCCCCGGAAAGGCATGAAGAGATACTTTGAGCCCAGTCCCCCCAGCTTTCATCGGCGACTGGAAGCCCTGCCCAGCCAAGCGAGGGGAACGCAGGGCGTCTTCACCCTGCGCCTTTCATCCTCCACGGATCTCCAAGCACCAGCTGGTTCATCACCCTAATGACGCGGACCCTTTTATGAGGCCGCTTTCATGTCAACCGCTTGGGAGTGCCATCTCAGCATTAAGTCTAGAGAGGATGACATGGCTCCCCAGCCCCTGCCCCGGAGTTTATAAGGCACCTCACGGGGTGAGGTCCCTTTTCCTTAGTGTCCCCTGTACTCCTACGTCTCGTAAACTCTACCCAGCACGCTTGTCTGGCCGAATGCGGTCTGGATTGGGAAGACAAGTTACGCATTTTTGTAGTCCCACTACTACACCCAACAGTATTTGGGGAGTTGAATTAAATGGGGGCCCTCTGAGGTTAAATGTGCAGAGGAGATGACTTTGGGATTATAATTTAAAGCCAAAAGGGACGAAAATAAGACAGTGGGATTTTAACAGTGTCTATGCCCCTTCCCTTTAGGAAAACTCTGTGCGAAGGCCCCTAACCTGTTTTGTAGAACCTTAGTTGTCATTACTGAGGGAAATGACAACGGGGCTACTGACTAGAAAATGAGAGCTGGGGTTCAGTGGATTGAAAGAGGTCATTCAGCCTTTACCTGCACTGTTTGGGGTGGGAAGGCAAAAACCTTACCACCCACCCTGACGGCCAGTGGCTCACCTCACAGTATGCAGTCTGACTCAGGGACCAATTTGTTTTTTTGCTTTCTTCCAACTTTCTGTCGTTTGTAGCTGAACCTATTGTTAGACCCTAATTCTGGGGTCCTGATGGGCCAATGGGAGAGCCCCAGCGAAATAAACACTAAAACCAGGAGATGCAACAAAAGGTGTTTATTGAACGAGTGCACTGGGGTATCAGCAATCTCGGGGAAAGCTGCACACCCCTCAAAGGGTCCAGGTTCTTTTTATAGAGACAAACCGCAAATCAGCATGCATGCATGGGGCCCAAGGTGATTGATTACAAAGTACGATCTCATGTTTGACAGATCACCCAGGTATGACCTGTTCTTATTCAAAGGATAAACCATAGAATGACTTGGAAAGTCCCCAGGCTGTCCGTTGGCCAGGAGTGACCCAGACAATGCTGTTCATCTGGAATCATTTATTCCAGGGTTGGGGGCCTATTTCCTTGTTGTGGGCCAAGACCTGTGAGAAACTTTTTTCATGCTCTGGCTTTCTCTTGGCTGTACCTTTAGAGCCTTCAGTTATTCCACAAAGGTTTGATGATTCAGTAACTAGCCCTATTTAACAAGATCAGCCTAGCATATAACCATTAGCCCCATCACCATAGTAACCTTTCTTGTTCTGGTAATTCCTGATTTTTTTCTCCCATGTTAACGTCCATTCTTTATGATTTTCTATATTCTGCTTGAAAGAACTATTTTCTTGCCCCTTTCCCACATCCTTGCTCTGCAAACTAAAATGTTTCACTATTCATCTACTCTCACAGCTTTAACTTCATCCCAACGTTCAATTCTTTCCGTTGCCTAGACATTTTTAAAAAGTATGTGTGTGTGTGTGTGTGCATGTGTCTTTGTGAGTGCATACCAGGTGTGTGCAGGTATCTGCAGAGGTCAGGCGAGGGTTTCAGATGCCCTGGAGCTGGAGTTAACAGGCAGTTGAATGTAAGCAGCTGAACATGGATGCTGGGAACAGTGTCCTCCAGCTGGTGCTCTTCGCCACCAACCCTTTTCTACAGCCCCCTCCTAGACTTTTCAGACTTCTATACTTCCATAACCAATTACCTATTATCTCTTAGGCGTTTCAAAAATCCCCAAAGCTTAACCTGTTTGTTAATTTCTTTTGAGACAAGGTTTTGTGTGGTCCAGTCTTTCCTCAAACCTGCTATGTAACCTTGACCTTCTGATTCTCCAGCCTCCGCCTCCAGGATTGCAGGCATCTGATTCCATGCCTGTTTTTATATGGTGCTGGAGATCAAATCCAGCAATTCCTGCTACCAACTGGGCTATATCCCTAGTCCCTTCACCCATTACCCCCCCCCACACACACACACAGGGTTCCTCTGTGTAGCTTTGGATCCTGTCCTGGAGCTAGCTCTTCTACAGCAGGGGGGGTCTTGAACTCACAGAGAAACACCTGCCTCTGCCTCCCAAGGCTGGGATTAAAGGCGTGCCCCATCACTGCCTAACTATTGTTTCCAGACAGGGTTTCTCTTTGTGACCCTGGCTGTCCTGGAACTCTCTCTGTAGACCAGGCTGGCCTTGAACTTTGAGATCTGCCTGCCTCTGCCTCCGGAGTGCTGGGATTAAAGGAGCCCACCTCTCCCTTCACCCATTTATTGAGACTACTTTCACCCATTTCCCAACAACAGAAGAAAAAAAAAGGCAAATTTTTATTCTTTCCTGAATTTCTTTTTTTTAATAATTTATTTAACTTAATTGTATGTGCATTGGTTTGAAGGTATCAGATCCCCTGGAACTGGAATTACAGACAGCCATGTGGGTGCTGGGAATTGAACCTAGGTCCTCTGGAAAAACAGTCAATGCTCTTAAGCCTGAGCCAGCCATTTCCTGAGTTTCTTATGTTGTATATTCATCTGTTCAACTGGCTACCACATGAAACATGGGGCATGGAACATGGAGTCGTCAGTGTTGTCCTTGACTTGCAATCTGTCATCAACTCTTTGTTCGCCTGATACACATTCAAATTTTCTTTTCATCCCCTAACTGTCCCTCAGTGTCATCTCTGTCAAGCCTAGGCCCTTCTGACAGAATGACCTTCCTTGCAGAAGCAGATGGATCATGTCACTTCCCTGGTATAAATCTACCAATGGCTTTCTATTGCTGTGAGTTTGGTCTCTGAGCTACCACGTCTTTGTTATTTGGCTACTCTTTGTAGTCGATGTTGAATGAACCCTTAGGGATTTGTGGCTCTAGAAATGTCATGGTTTTTGCTGTATTCCCTCTGCTTTAGACATCTCGGTCCTCCACAGTCCTTCAAACCTGAACATAGGCATGCCCTTCTCCTCCCTTTGGTATCTGTTGCCCCCAAGTTAAATGCCCCTCTGAAGTGCCCACAGCATCCCACCTCAGTAACGAAATTCATCATAATGTGTGATAATTTTTGGTTTAGCTGTCTAATTCTTCTACAGTGAACTTATGGGCAATCACCCAATCTAACTTCCTTTGCATATGGCAAGATAAAGTCTGGCTTTTTTATTTTTCGTTTTTTCTTTCATTTTTCATTTTTCTTTTTCCTTTTTTGAAACAGGGTCTCTATGTAGACTATTTTGTCTTTGAACTCAAAATCACCCCACTTCATCCTCCAAGTGTTGGGATACAAATGTGAGACCCACTCCAGGTTAAATTTAAAAAAAAAAAAAAAAAAAAAAAATCAGGTTTAGCCCGGAGTGATGGTGCACACCTTAAGTCCCAGCATTTGAGAGGCAGAAGCAGAAAGGATACCTGTGTATTCAAGGCCGGCCTGGTCTATAGCATGAGTTCTAGGTCAGCCAGGGCCACATAAAGAAACCTTGTTTCAAAAAAAAAAAAATAAATAAATAAAGCCAAAAAACAAAACTAGGTTCAAAGAGCACTATTTGCCTAGTATATGCAGAACCCTAGGTTCTATTCATAGCACTGCCAAGAAAACAAAACAAAAAAACACCTGTAGAAAAGATGATAGAATCAACCGGGCAGTGGGGGCCCACGCCTTTAATTCCAGCACTCTGGAAGCAAAGACAGGAGGATCTCTGTGAGTTCGAGGCCAGCCTGGTCTACAGAGCGAGTTCCAGGACAACCAGGACTGATTCACAGATGAAACCCTACCTAGAAACAAAACAAAACCTAACAAAAGATGGTAGAATTAGCGAAGAAATTAGTCCAGTAGAGAGAGAACATTTCGGTATCAGGGCCTGGAAGCATCAGTTTCGTATCCACACACAAGTTCTGGCCCGCATTTCCCCGCCGGCGTCTAGGGGGCGCTGTGGGACCAGTGCTTGCTTTGCGCCACCGGAAGTTGTCTTGAAGGCCTGACGTTAGGGGGCGGGGCTCCAGGGCAAGCACTTCACCCAGAGGAAGAGGGGCGTCCTTACAGTCGAACTGCCCCTCCCATGGTCCGGCCCACTCCGGGGGGCACCTCAGCGGGAGTGCTGCGGGGACCCCGGAGGTATGGAGCTGGGCGGCGGGGCTCAGATCGGCCTCGGTCCTTGGTTCACTTCGGTTGTCCCGTCTCTGCCTCTGATAGTTTCCGAGGGGCGTCCTTCAGAGGAAGTCTGCGGCGGCGGCCTCTGGCAGCCTCCAGAGCCCTTCTTTACTAAAACGCTCAGCCCATGGGGTAGAGATTGGTGTCCAGAGAATCTCCTGGAGAGATTTTTGCTTGGGACCCCTTTGGGGCTGGATCTCTGCTTTCTGAGGGGGAGGGAGGGGAGATCACTGGAGCTCCTCAGGAATCTGTGTTTGAGAGTTTCCCTTTAGGACACCTCTCTCAGGAGTCTGTTCAGAGAGTTTGTAAGCCTGAGCTTTCCTCCGTGCAGTCAAATACTTTTCCCGTGATTCCGTCACTATTTTCTTGTCTGATGTCCTCCCCCTCCCCCCGTGGATTTATTCTCACCCAGTTAATCATACCGGAAGGCAAGTTATTCTCTCACTTGCACACTCTCCTGGAGAAGCTGATTGAGTCGAGTCTTAATCTGTGCTTTTTTTTTCATGGGGGTCATGGTTAAAGAGAGAAATCAGCCTGGTATACACGTGCCTGTTATCCTAGCACTTGAGCGCTAGAGGCAAGAGGATCAGCTCAAAGCCAGCCTCAACTATTTCATTAGCTGGAAGCCAGCTTGGGTGACATGAGAGCCTGTCTCCAAAACAGACAGACAGACAGACAACAGAAGAGAGCAAGAGTACTTGTGGAGCTCCCTTCAGTAATTGGTGCCCTATACACCCTGTGCACTGGGAAGAACCTGGACACCTACTTTTTGTTTGTTTGTTTTTTTACCACTCTCTGGGCCTCTCCGTTTATGTTACCATTAATCGCACACCTGTTGTGTGCCCAATCCTGGCCACTCCTGGAACAAGTAGGTTAATTACAGTAGAGTTCACTGCTCAGTCGAGTGTGTAAACACATTAGGGTAGTGCTGAGTCTCTGATGCTTCCCCAGGCTACTACTGGTCTGTATTCTGTCCTCCCTTAACCACACTACTCCTCTTCTTCAAGGTTGAAAGCTAAGAATGGGGAAGAGCTGCAAGGTGGTCGTGTGTGGCCAGGCATCTGTGGGCAAAACTTCAATCCTTGAGCAGCTCCTGTATGGGAACCATGTTGTGGGTGAGTGTTGCTGGGGGCGGAAGATGTTGAGTAATGCAATAGAGTTTGATCACATCATGAGCGCAAAGGCAAAAGGGGCACCAGCTGCTTTTGCTCCCTCAGAATTGAGGCTGAGGGCATGCATGGCTGACTGTTAGAGTACTGATCTAACATGGAGTAGGGCTTGGGTTTGAACCCCCAGCAATGGGAAAAGAAAAGTAAAACATTGTATTCCCCAGTTCTATACCAATGAACTAAACTAAAAGGGAGAAACCCAAAGCCAAGATAGGGGAAAACCCCACATAGGGCTTCCATGCATCTGTGAGTGTGCATTTTTGTGCATGCATGCCCATGTGTGCACATTGTACACAGGCCAGAGTTGGATGTGCGGTGTCTGCTTTATCGCTCTCCACTTTGCTGTTGTCACTACTGTTATCTTTGAGATGACCTCACCACAGAGACCAGGCTGGCCTGGAACTCACAAAGATCAACTTGCCTCTGTCCCTGCCCCTTTAAGGGTTTCAAGGTGTGTGGCACCACACCCAGTTTTGTGTTGCACTATTGCTTAGTGTGATAATGACGTGACATTCATTCCCCAAGTCACTCCTGTCCAATGCTCTCAAGTCTGGCCTCTGAGCCCTCACATTGCTTATGCTCCTCGTCCAGTCAGCTCGTTAGGATGTCCACCTCTCTCACATTTCCCATCTCCCTTCACTCTTAATCAAGTCTCATTGTAACCCAGGTTCTGAGATGATTGAGACCCAGGAAGACATCTATGTGGGCTCTATTGAGACAGACCGAGGGGTGCGGGAGCAGGTGCGTTTCTATGATACTCGGGGTCTCCGGGACGGGGCCGAGCTGCCCAGGCACTGCTTCTCCTGCACTGATGGCTACGTCCTGGTCTACAGCACTGACAGCCGAGAATCATTTCAGCGCGTCGAGCTGCTCAAGAAGGAGATCGACAAGTCCAAGGACAAGAAGGAGGTACATGTACTGGACCTCTGCTGGGGGCCCGGTGACAGGAGAGCATGAGTCCTCGGCAGGATTTGGGGTGCTGGCGTGATTTCAGTTGTGCCCATTTGCAAAGAAAAGAGGTTATTTAGGAGCTAGAAGACCATGAAGGTCATTGGAGAGGGTCTCCAACCCATACAAGAGGTGGCCATATGATAGGAAAATTCAAAGAGACTTTTCTTTGGTTTAATAGGGTTCCTTCTACCACATGCGGCTCTCCCTAATTTTTCTTTGCTGTGGTTTCCTGCTCTTGCCAGTCCTCCAAAATTCTGTAAGCTGTTAGCCTCTGGGAACTGCATCTTCCCCAGTTGTTAGCCAGAAACAGCTGACAGCTACTCCTGACCCTGAGCCACTGCTATAGATATAGATAGAGATGATATAGATATAGATATATAGATAGATAGGGCGCTTCTACTCTTTCTTTCTTTCTTTCTTTCTTTTTTTTTTTTTTTTTTTTTTTTTTTTTTGAAAAGGGTCTCTTTGTACAGCAGCTCTGGCTGTGACCAGGCTGGCCTCAAACTCACAGAGATCCTCCTGCCTCTGCCTCCCAACTGCTGGCATTAAAGACATCTGCCACCCCTGCCCAGTCAGCCTCTACTCTTGCCTCTCTCTTCACCAGGTCACCATCGTGGTCCTTGGCAACAAGTGTGACCTTCAGGAGCAACGTCGTGTAGACCCTGATGTGGCACAGCACTGGGCCAAGTCAGAGAAGGTGAAACTATGGGAGGTGTCGGTGGCTGACCGCCGCTCCCTCCTGGAGCCTTTCATCTACCTGGCCAGCAAGATGACCCAGCCCCAGAGCAAGTCTGCCTTCCCCCTCAGCCGCAAGAACAAAGGCAGTGGTTCCTTGGATGGCTGAAGAGCTACCCTTCTTTCTTCACTATCCCAACCCCATGCCAGGATGGGTTGGGTCGAGGGTACAGGGATGCATAAGCAAGCTGTTCTTCCACTCAGTAAGGGAACAACCCTCTAGGCCAGGAAGCTGGGCTGGCCCAGGCCAATGCCACTTTTGTCCCCTCCTAACTCCAAGTGATACACGTGAACTTGATTGCTGGCCCTCCCCTTAACCCTTTCATGATAGTCCCCACCCCCAGCTCACATCACATTTTCTCTACCATTACCTGGACACATAATGTCCCTTCCATCTGCCTGGGGCAGGTAGCAGGGCTGTCATTCCAAAGTGCCCAGGCCAGGGTCAGGCTCCTATCAGGGATTCCAACTCTCTAAATTTCCTGCCGGTAACACAGCACCAGCCTGGGCTTGAGAAAGTGACCAGGTATTGTGAGCGCACAGTTGTATGTGCTGCCTTAGGGTTGGGCCCTCTTCCCTTACCCTGATCTTTCCCCTGGCTTGTCCAAAGCTGGGAAAAGCCAGGCTCCTGGGAGTGGCGTTTTCTGTCTGACCTCCACCCATCTCCCAGCTGTTTCACTTCCTCTTCCTGCTCTAGGATCTCATTGGTTGAGGTGGAGCAGAATGATGACTGGGCTGTCAGTCACCCTGGGACCTAGCAAGGCCGGTCTTCTCTGGGCGTCAGTTTTCTCATCTGTGAGGTGATAGGAGCTTGGATGATCACTTGGGGCCTTGGCATCTCTGTGATTCTCTAAAGCCAGTGGCCTGGGCCTCCTGAGTCTCTGCTTCACCCTCTTCAAGGTGCTACACCTACCAGCCCTGGAGGCTGGACAAGCCTCTCCTTTAACCACCAGGGGGCAGGAGTGCACTCTGTGCTCAGTGGTGCAAGTGGCATAGTCTGCGGACCTGCCCATAGTGCTGTCCATCCCTCCTGGTTGCTTTTGGTAGTAGCTGGACTTATATTTATATTCTCTCTCTGTATTTATATGCCTGCTACCCTGGTGAAGGTGGGATAAGCCGCTCCTCCAGCCCTTCCTTCTTACCTCAGATGCCTGAACAGAACCAGGCAAAGCAGTAGCAGTTTCCTAGGAGCTGACAGGTCTTGCAGTCGGCGGGGCCTGTGCTATCAAGTGAGCATCTAACCCACAACTTCTGGTGCCCGCCCTGAGCTTCTGCTATGCACACCTCACATGAGTTAGACACTACAGCCAGGCCACCTTCAATACCACCCCTTCTCCCCAGAATCAGTGAGAAGGGGCTGGTGCCCAGGGCTGGGCAAGGAGAGTCAGGGCATCTACAGGCTCAGGCTTGAAGTTCATTTATTAATGTGTTGGACACAATAAAACCACAACTGCTGTTATCAAAAAGTTTCCCTCCCCCGCCCCTTTTCTTATTCTATTGGAAATACCTTTCCAAAAAAAAAGATACAAGTAGATACTGGCAAAGTCCCATATTGAGTGGGGAGTGACCCTGGCTTTGGCTTTGGCAACATGGAAGTGGATTTGATGACCTATAGGACTGTGTATCAGCCCTGGGCTCCCCAGTTGGAGAGACTGGACCCCAGTCTGGAGTGGAGAGTCTCTAGGCTGAGGGACACTCAGAGCCCCCCCCCACCTTAGAGTTGTGGGGTTTAACCGGAAAGGACAGCTGTGATAAGACAGGTCACTTCTGCTAAAGGCAGGGTCAGGCAGAGTGGTACACCTTTACCCTCATCACTCAGGGAGGAGAGGCAGGTGGATCTGTTGAGTTTGCCAGCCTGGTCTACATCATTCCAGACCAGCCAGGGCTACACAGTCAGGTCCAGCACACCTTCTAGCATCACCCCTACAGAGATGGAACTTCCCCCAAGCCAGCCTCACTTTCACAGTACTTTGAAGGACTTTGGGGACCTCTTATTTTTATGGTTCTCTGTTATACCCCATGGTTGACTTCTGGTTTTTGTTTTTTGTTTGGGTTTGTTTGGGTTTTTTTTTTTTGTTTTGTTTTGTTTTGTTTTGAGACAGTATCTACAGTATCTAATTTATGGCCCAAACTGAACTCATGATCCAGATGCACCACCACACCTGGCTACCCCATGGTAAGCCTGGCTGATGGGTTCCAGCCCACATCAGTGTGAGATCCCTAGCTCCAGTGGTTTCAGAGGGTGCTAGGACATGGCAGGAGAGTTGGCTTCTAAGTCTCTGGTTGGGGTGGGGGTGTGAGAGCACCATGTGGCTGGGGCTGTGATTTTGCATAGATCTTTGGGATTCGGGAGCCATAGATGCAGGGCAGCCCAGGACTGGCCCGGGAAAGGAGGGTAGTGATGGTCCTCAGACCCAGGTGACTGGAAAAACCCCAGTCTGAGTGAAGAGCAGTTCCCCCTGGTTGTGTGGGAACTGCTCACACAGGGGCAAAAGATAGTCTCTGGGATGTGGAGACAAGTGCTTGCCAGAAAGAGATAGGATGTGGCCAGCCTGGGGCCACTAATAGGGAGCAAAAAGGATGGGTCCTGCAGCAGGACGGACAGCTCCTGCTGGAGTACGGAACAGAGCTGGGCCCAGGACAGGAGCTGGGAAGAGGGTAGCAGCTGCTGTTGCAGCAGGCCGGAGGGCCAGGGGCCCGGGCAGGGCACAGATGGCAGCAGCTGTGGTGGGCAGAGGACTGGGCAGGAAGCGGGCTGCCAGTGTCTTGGTGAGTTGCTTCTGCAAGGCCAATTTAGACTACAAAAAACAGAGAGAAATGGATAGGGTCTCCGATACCAGAGAAGCCCACCCCCTCCCTGGTCTACATCCAGGAGCTTTTTTGCCTCAGGGACGTGACTGTTAGAGAGTGCCAAGTCTAACAACCTCCTTCCCGCCCCCAAACAGCCATTCCAGAGGGCTTGTTGTGCCACCTGTCTTCCTGCCCAGCAGATGGGCAACCTGAGAACAGGCAGAGCCAGGACACTGGGCGGGGTGGGAGGAGATGGTCCCTAGAATAAGCACATCCACCCCTGGATTTTGCCCCTCATATTATGACCATAGCCCACCCCACCCACCAGAAATTCCTCTGGGCATAGCCCAACCCCAACCCTAACCCTGTCCCTGCCCAGGCAGCTGCAGAACCAGCACCTTCCTGCCACACCCCAAGTCTTTTAGCTGGCCCTTCCTCCTACTCTTCCCCCAGTAGACTGTTGCCTAGAGGCAGGTACCTTGAGGACACTCACAGCCAGTGCTGCCTGTTTCTGCAGTTTGCTGTGCTGGCTGGAGGGCTTGGGGGGCTTCCCAGCTAGGCGGTCTTTGTGCCTCCGGCTGCTCATATGCTAACAGACAAACAGAATGGAGTGAGATGAGGAAGATTACCAAAATTATTCTGTTGCCCAGACTATCTTAGACTTCCTCTACCTGCAGATTTTACATTCAGCACACATGATGGGTTCTCAGGATGGGGCAGCCCTAGGCAGCCACACCCATCCATCAGTGGGCATCAACCCTTCCTCCCTTGCTCTGATGCCTACCCAACCCCGGCCCCTTCTCCTACCTGCTTGAGTTGGGTCTCTGAATTGACCTGGAGCTGACAGAGGGCACAATGGTAAGGAGGGTTAGGTCCCTGCCGGCCTCCACGATTTCCTATCACTCTCTTTGTCTTGTGTCCAGACCCTCCCCGGGACACAGGATGTCCCCTGGCCCTTCGGGGAGCCCCTTGATGACCTTCCACCATCCATCGGTGCTTAGCTCCTGGAAAGAAAGAAGACAGTCTGTCGGTACAGAAGGGAGGCCACTGCACCAAACTAGGTTAGCTGGCTGCCCCTTGCAAACCTTGCTCTGCACACACACAGCTCCCCAGCCATGTGGGCTTCCCTTCCCAGCATCTCTGGCTTGTCTCTGGCTTCCTGTGGACATCCCTCATGGAAGAAGGTCTTATAGGCTTCTGGGTTAAAGTCCCTTCCTTTTGTTTTGATCCAAGGGGAATGGAAGAGGGTACTCCTCCTTAGCAACCTTCAGTTCTGGTTGCTGAGACTTCTCTTCCCGATGCCCCCTCCCTTAGGACCAAGAGGAGGACCCAGAAATGCCTGCATAGTAACAGTGGGTAGGGTTCCTCTGTCACCCAGCCATGGGTGACATGGATCCTGGGAAACACTGACCTGTGTTGTGAGCCTGAAGCTGCGAGGCCGAGTTTACCGTCACTTTACATGTAGGGCAGTAGAGGCGCCCCTTTTCACTCCTGCCTTCCCCATTGACTCTGCTTCCCACAGCCACTTCTGCTGGCTCAGGCCCTTGGGCTTCTGGGCCAGGATCCGGGGAGCAGGGTGGGCAGGAAGAGGAAGAAGAGGAAGAGGAAGCAGCAGCATCCGAGAGGTCTGAGTGTGCTGGCTCTCTGGTTGGTGTGTCTGGGGTCGGTGATAGCTGAAGTGAAGGGCCGAGAGGAGGGGATGCAAGATCTGCAAGGAGATGGGACACACAGGGAGATTCTAGCCCCTGAGGCTCAGCAGTGATGGTGGAGATAGAAAGGGAGGGTGGCCAGCTTCCTGATGAAAGGAAAGCTAGCACTGAATCCTAGGCTCACCTTCCCACCAACTCTCTAGGCAAACTTGGACCTCAGTTTCCTATATAAAAGTCATAATTCTGGAAGGAGCAGAATGCCCTGACGTTCTTGCACCTCAGTATTAACTAAGCAGAAGTCACCAGATGTGCTAGAATGCTTATAAACTATTAATTCATAATAGCATAACACTGGAAATAGCACCAAACAGGAGAATGGTGGTGTCTCCATGCACTATAGTAACACACAGCACACAGCGTGAAAAGCAAAAACTACTACATGTAAACTCATGCACATAATGAATACTGGCAAGTTATTTTTGTTGCTGTTTGTTTTTGTTTTTGTTTTGTTGGTCAGGTGTAAGGTGTACGGTTTTTCTTCCCGCCGCCTGGTCTTGTCCTGCAGCCGCGCCAGCCCCAAATAATGCACAGAGACTCTGTATTTGATACTATGCTGTTGGCCAGTTACTAGTTTCTTATCGGCTAGCTCTGTCTCAATTATTAACCCATTTCTATGTATTTCCACGTGGTCTTCTTACCGGGGAAAGGGGCCAGCGTCTCGTCTCCCCAGTCTCTCCATCTTGACTCCCTCCTTACTACTTCCTCTTTCCTCCTTGTCTCCTAGTCTTACTTTCCTATTGGCCAACAGTGCTTTATTCATTAACCAGTATGAGAAACATATACAGAACGACATCTCCCATCAGTCGGGGTCTCGTGTATCTCACTCATTATGTAGCTGAGGGTGCCTCTACCTCCTGAGTGCTGTGATCATGGGTTTGTACCACTATGCCTGGTTTTGTGTTGGTGCTGGGATCAAACTCAGGATTTCTCATGTGGTATGTACATTCTCTACCCACTGAGCTACAACAGCCAGCCCCCTGTCTTCCATTTTCTGAGACAGGATCTTATGGAACCCAGGCTGGCCTTGGATTCAATGCAGAGCTCAGGCAGACCCGGAAGTCTTCATTCTCCTTCCTTGGTCTATAAGGAGTGTAGAGGGCAGCGGTGCCCAGTAGCTGAGAGCTGGGTTTCTCCCTCTGGCCCCCAGGAAATAAAAGCAAACATACCCATTGTAGACCACGGACCTCTGGATTGTGGGGAAAATATGTTTCTACTGCTTCAGCCACCTACTTCATAGCCATTTGTTCTGCCAGGCATAGTGAACTAACACAGGTAGTAGTTGGGAAGGATCTCGCTCAGGCTTGACAGGCAGCATGTTACCTGATCCAGATTGAGTCTGAGAAGTCAGTGAACAGTAGGAGCCTGCCCATACATAGAGTAATTTCCTAGCAAGGAAGATAGTGAAGGGCTAGAGAGATGGCTCAGCAGTTAAGAGTATTTGCAGCTCTTGCAGCGGATAGAGTTCGATCCCTAGCACCCACACAAAGCCCCTCAAAACCACTTGTACTCCAGCTCCAGGGGATCTTACTTCCTCTTTTGTCCTCTGTGTTCCATGGGCACCCATACATACTGACACACACACACACACACACACACACACACACACACACACATACACACATGCACACAACACAGCACAACAGCAACAACAAAGATAACCCAAGTTTTACAAAAGAAAAAAGAAAGATGGTGAAGAGCAGATTCACTTAAGCCATGTCAGAAGCCAGCCCTGATGCGGAGACTTGAGTTCAGGGCTGACCTTTGCTCTGCGGGCTTCCAGGACCTCCACTGGCTGCATCTGAGGCCGAAGATGCCACTGTCCCATTTGGGGTCAGGTTTCGAGGCCTCTGCTTGCTCTTGGCAGCTTCGACCGCCTTGAGTTTTCTGGCATGTCTGTGGCCCTTGTAATGAGCTTCAGCCTGGTTCTGGAAAAGGGAGGGGAGGTCAGATGCCTCGTCCAGGAGTGA